ATCCGCCCACCTCAGCCTCCCAAAGTGTTGGGATTACAGACGTGAGCCACCACACCTGGCCCATTTTCTAGTATTAAATTCTCTGTTTTAAGTACATAAAGACAGTTCTGTTTCCCTGTTGGTTTCCAAGGCACTTCTCATGGCTCCTGGTGTGCTGCTCCTGTACAGCTGTGCTCACTGCTGAAAACAAGTACATTCCGTTTGATATGACTATCCACACCTCTTACCATGAATTCCAGAAGACCTGGCACTTCAGTTAGGGGACACAACGTGTTTATAAACACAGGCAGTCTAAGAGTGCATCTGTGTTTCTCTATGTTCCAAAAAGCGCAGTCTATTGTATTTTGAAAAATAACTTATTTTTGCAGTTAACTACATGGCGGCGATGTTAAAGCAATGAAAGTCAACACAGAGCCACGTGAATGCTTAAAGCTTGAAGAAGAGTGCTTAGTCTTGTGTTATCAGAATCCTCAGTAGTCCAGGCCACAGAGATTTATCTGGCAGTTCTGCAACCTCAGTGTTCACAGGATTATAAAGCTAATAATCAAGATTAGACATTTGTTTCTAGCATTCTATGCTCAAATGTCTAAACCATTGGTATTTATTTTTAAAAGAATGGTAAACTTCAGGGTCACTAAGATTAGGCTGCATTTGGGAGCGTATACTCTGTACTCACTACTCAAAACTCCAATTCTCTGACAGTATTCCAGAGCTCAGGCTTCTGATTAACTGACCTGTAAGTCTGGACAATAAAGTGTGTCTGTGACTTAGGGAGGGCAGCCGGGACACTGTTCTCTTTGGCCTGAAGGGGTCTATTAATGAGCTTCAGAAACTGGCAAATGGATTTGCTCTGAGATGAGGAGGGCAAAGCCTTTCCTGCCGAAGACCTGCTTTTCTCAGGCTGTGGGCCTTTCTTTAGGAGACAAGGTCACGGCTTGCAGTCTTGCCCTGCCATCCTCATGTGTCAGGACAGAAGCGCATGTGGCTGGTTGTCAACCAGTGGAACCAGAACTGGGGTCCGCAGGGCCCTCCCCATGCCACCTCGTTGCAGGAGCGTGGGCACCCTGGGACGCCTGCCCTGCCCTCTGCTGTCTCACCGAGGCCTGCCAAGCTCAGCAAAACTCTGCACTGTATCTACACTGCAGTGACCAGCAACGTAACAATTTCTTTGCCGTTTAAACCTTTTGGAATTTGAAGAAATCAATCTAAAAAAATGGAAGTTACGAAATTAGAGTTAACAGGGTATCAATGTTTTAGACTTTACCCATGTCATGGCCAAAATGAACCCAGCTAACAGCCGTGACACCTGTGGCTGTTGAGCAGATGGCCTTTTGGGAACAGGAGCTTATGAGCCTGGGCCTTGTCCTAACCTTTACCTGCGTCTCGTTGTCAGTCAGGCTTTGTTATGATTGTCCGGTGATCCGGAGAGTGATGTGAAGGGTGCTGGGGGCTCTCAAGGGGGTTCTGCCACAGTTTTCCTGTGGGGCATCACTGTGGCGTCTGGCAAAGCATGACGTGCCCACGCAGAGACCCACGCAGGAGCCCGTGTCCCACGGACGTGTGACCACGTCCTTTGGTGCAACTGCCTCCAGCAGCAGCCAGTGGAGGGGGGCGGGGGTTGGCTAATGGGCACGTGGACGGAGTAGCTCTTCTATCAGCTGAGACCATGAGGAATTGGCTCTCCTCACTTGTAAGTAAATGGAAAATTTCCAAGGACATCCCTGGCTCATCTCTGGGAGCAGTGTGATTTAATTATAAAGAAATACGTAAAAAATTAACATTCTCATCTCTGGTGTATCACCTGGGGTGCCAGGAACATACATCTATTCACTGATTTATACAGAAAAAGTATCTGCGACACACAGGAGGAGGAGAAGCTTGAGAGGACCGGAAGGGCAGGGCGCGGGGCGTGACCACAGCACTTCTCAGCTCCATGCCTTCACCACCGCCAAAGAAAAAGCGCAGCCTCAGCCGCCATTGCTCACTGGCCTCCGTTGCCCAGTGCCACTCCTCTCACTAGCAGCAGTTGCTTCTGCTAGGAAAGACGGAGTGGAGGACACATGGGCAGGACCCGCGCTGTCTCCTGCCGGGGCAGGGGTCACACACCCAACCCTTCTGCTGCTGCCGCCTAAATATTCATAAGCGCTGCCTCTCCTTAGAGATCACATCTGTATAGGAAAGAGCACTCCCCTACCCTCATCCGTTTTACATGAGACATACTAGAGAAACCACTAGAAAAATACTCCCTTTTCATGAATGTGCTGGACAGCCATCAATGGGCAGGAGGCCTACCTTAGTTGTGCCGGTGTAGCCAGCATCTGGCAGTGCCTGCACATACAAGACACGCAGTATGTATAAAGTTGGTGAAATTACAGTTTCATTCTGCTGTCTAAAGTGACTGAATTCTGTGGCATTTACGTCAGGGAAATAAAACCTTACCCTTCAAAACATCCACTGATGGGTCTTATATGTTGCCTATCAGCCCTTGAAGGGCCCAGGTGCAAAGTGTAGTTAATATGACATGCATTTACATTTTTACTTATTAGAGGCTATGAAAAAAAAAGTTGATAGAAACCTTTAAAGAGGATAGCTGTTCTTTATGAGCTTATTGTCATAATGATAGATTCCAACTCAAACATTTACCAGATGTGAGAATCTGCATGGATAATGTTGGTCATCTTCACTTGCGTTACTGAATGAATGCATGCCTTGAAGTGAATAGTGCAGTTTTAGTCTGTTTCTGGCTTATGTACTCACTCACATGCTGAAACTGGGTAGAGCAGGACCTGCCTGGTGCCTGTGTGTCGTACAGTGAACAGTTAACAGCAGCTGCCTGGGCACTGTAGACAAGCCAGTAGGGCAGCTTTCAGCACTGAGATAGTAAGAGTGCTGTGCCAACTCTGTGTAGAATATAGCTACCTCAGCCAAAGAACACATGTTCCTAAACTCCCATGAATTTTTCATGTCCCAAGCGGGATTCCCTTTGGTGTGTGCTCCAGTGCGTGTCCAAGCTTACCTTATCCTCCATGCACACTGGACTGACAGCCAGCCGGGTAAGAAGCCTGGCACATCTTTTATAGTCTATAGTGAAAATAAATCACAGACACTTGTCATTAATTTAAAACAAAAATAGCATCTTTTGCAAGTATATCAGCTACTAAAGCCATTTATTTCTTTAAATGTCTGAATTCCCTGGAAGCAATACAGAGTCTGTAGTCTGCAGGCATGGGTTCTAAGTTGTTGACTTAATAATTTATGGTGCTTCAAGGGCTTAAGCTTCAATGGCAGAAGTCGGATGATTTAAGTGGCGCTGTGGAGGGAGGAGGGACAGGCACGAAGACGGCATGGCTGAGCTGGCTGCCCATTGCTCCTCTCAGAAATAACTTCATTTTGTTTTCTACATGACAGTCCTTCCATACCCTTGTGTCACTTCTAGGTTATGTGCAGGCTGAATCCCAGCTTGAGTTGACCATGACACAAAGCCTTCTGCCTGTAAATTCTAAAGAAAGTGGGTCACAAGGCAGCAGAGCAGAGGCGTGGACTGGATGGCGAACAGAAGCAACATGCCTGTTTCTAACTGCAGACTGATACTCCTCAGTATGAACACAGTCTCCCATTCCACTATTCTGCTCATGCTGCCTATACAAACTGAGAAGGTGCAATGATCCTGGCCATAAGGGAATTTTGAGTATCTATGGAAAGCTGTGATTGTTAATAAATTATTACAGTTTATTTCTCAAGAATAGCAAAATCCTACTTAAAAATGGGAGAATTTAGACTCGACTGAAAATCTGAATTGAATGGGGAGGTTGACAATGATAAATGCAAATAAGCTAGCTAGATAAGTAGCTAGCTCTACTTCCAAAAATATGCCTCCTAAATATTTGTGGCACATATTGCTAGGGGTTTTTCAAAGGGAAAAGCGTGCTGTAACGGCGGCACTGGGCCATCTGAAGCCAGTGTCTGCCTTTCTCTTTCAGCAGCACCATGCTTTTCAGAATGTAGTTTTGCTAAACAGATTCCATATCATGGGTGCAGTGGATTGTGATTCCAATGGCAGATCTAATCAATGAATTGTAAAAACTTCCACTTGCGGCATGTCCAGGGTCACAGTTGACTACACTTCCAGCTCAACCCACGTGTTTTCAGCAATGTCTGGCAAACTTCAATGTGCAGACCAATCACCTGGGGATCTTGTTAAAACGCAGATTTTGTTCAACAAGTCTAGATGGGACTTGGTTCTGCATTCTCAGCGAACTCCCCACGGGACCACACTTCGAGTGAGAAGGCACTAAAGTTCCTTCAGGTCTGACATTCCAGGAGCCCAAGGATTTTCTTTCATATAGCCTAACAAAGCACAGAAGTGGTCCGATTTCAGCTCTCCAGCTCTTTGTGGGCTAAGAAGAGGCAGAAAGCAACAAAGTAGCCACCGGTCTCCAAAGGCAGAGATCTACCAGCTTCTCCCTTTCCTTGACCTGGGGTGAGCTGCGACCAGGAGCTTAGGATCACACAGCTGAGTTGCTGTGAGCACAAGGAAATATCGAGTAGGGGTACAGCACGATGCCCTGGAAAAAGGTCTGCAGAGTTAACCCTGAGATCTACATCTTAGCTTTACTGCTATCTGGCAGCACAAAAGCACTTCCTCATTTATAAATGAAAAGATGAGACTGAATGACTCAGAGGTCACTTGGAAATTTGGAATCTATGATCCTATTACTGTAAGAAAATATTTAATATAAAATATACGCACATTAAAACAATACAAATGACAAGATTTTCTAGCTCGAAGAGCCAGATTAATGATTCCCAATAGAAGGTGATTGCATTCCAAAAGAAGAAAACAGGAAAGTCCTAGCGTGCTGGGTCCACGTGGAAGGGTGAGGCCCAGCAACGAGAATACAGAAACAAAACCCTTCAGGAGGTGTGTGCTGCTGGCCTTGGCATGAGGATGGTGTCACCAGTGGCATGGTCAGAGGCTGAGGCTGTGTTCCATGCGTCTCCGTGCTGGTGGTGTGGTGGATGCTAAATGTGTATGTGCCTTCGCCTTGTCCAGAAAGTGCTGGTGTTGCCACTTCAGTGGGCTAAGGCTCACTGACATGCACCTGGCACTCAGAAGAAGTCCTATGAATGATGGTTATTATTTCAGGTAATTTTGCTGCCTAAACAAAGAAAAACACTTTGTGTACATTGGCTTTTGATTTGTTTGTTTTTGGAGGGGAAGGTAGGACAGCAAGTGTGGTCTGCTGCCCGGCCCGGCTGGAGGGCGCTGATGGCGGCTAGCAGTATTCCTAGTGTCTGCATGGCTTTTCTCCTCTTAGCCTTAAATGAATAAAAGTTGGAGTCCAAATTAAAAAAAAAATAGGTTAGGGTCCTGTCACTGTAGCTAATAAGACTACAATGAAGAGAACAAGGAGCTACTTTTGGGGAAATGTTTTGTTATGAATAAATAGGCAGAAGCGGGTTAGGAAGACTGAAAAGAAACAGGAGAGAAAGCTACCGCTGAGAGCTGGGCTGACAAGGGCAGCTCTGTGTTTCTGAAGAGTGATGGAGCCAGCCAGAGAAACAGTTTTGAAATCACAATGAAATTTGTGGGTGATAAGGTTGTAAATACTAATGGGAAGAAAAAATCTCTAGTCAGAGCAGTGGTCCAGGTCAATCTTATTCTTGGAGTCATTTTAGCAACTCATTTTTAACATCTGTTTGACTGCCACAGTAGAGCATGCACAAACATGAGCACTGGACAGGAACTGGCAGAGAAGAGGAGAATAGGAGTTCAGCCCTCCCTAGAGCCTGTTATTCCAGTGACTATAAATAATTCCCAGTTTGGCATTAGCTGATGCAGAAGTTAGTTATCTTCTGCAATGGTCTGGCCATCTTGGCCCCTAACTCCACAGTGAGGAAGGAATAGGCAAATTTGAGCAAAGAAGGCAGGGGCCTCTGAGGAAATGGAAGGAGGTGGGAACCACGGCCTGCACTGTGCTTGCAGTTTATAAAAATCCAGTGCTGTTACTTACATGCAGGAATGGTGCAGTCTCTGGTGTTGTGATAAAGTCTATGGAAGTGTTTGCTGCACTTTGGACTAAAATAAAGAGGACCTGCAACACGGAAGAAGAAACAGATCATGAAGACTCAGGTGCAAAGGAGCTCTGGGAAAAGCGAGGATGGAGGAGAAAACTTACCTGTAAGGTGTTTTAGAAACTTGTCTTTCATCCTCAGATCTCGAGGAACAATTTCTGTTTCAGGGAAAAGAAAATATTTTATTGCTCGAAGGAAGCATTTTTTGATAATGTGATCTTAAGTGAATGTTGAAGAAAATTAATGGAAACTCCACATTAGCCAAATTGTTTTGCACCAAAAAAAAAAAAAAAAAAAAAAAATGGGGGGCCCTGGATTGCAAAGCATGACAGTGAAGAAGCCTCAGCATCACAGTAACTACTCCTGAAGCTCCAGGATTACGTCTGCTCTCTCCCCGCAGGATGCAGACAACCACAGCGTTATAGAGTTAAGAAAACTTTTTTTTTTTCTTTTAAACATTTAACTTCTAGTCACTTTTAGACACTTTAATTTTGAGGACCTTGGGAATCAAATCCCACAACATTTCAAAGTTTTTAGAGAAAAAGTGGCCCTTCAAACAAAAAAAATGGGTTCTAGGACATTACTTGTTCTAGTTAAATATTTAGGTGTAAATTAGTGGAAATATGCATTAACCTGGTTTATAAGGTATTCACTACAGAAAGACTCTGCCAAGCAAACTTCCACCACCAGGGCTCTCGGCACACAGTGGGTGGGGAAAATCCTGCGGACGTCCCCTCTGAGTCCAGCTTTGTTCCTGCGTGTTTACACTCCCCTGCTCCGGGCTCCTGGCTGAGCTCCGAGGGGGCGTGAAGCCAGGCCCTTGCAAGAGGGGCGTCCACATCCACGTCGTACACTCGCAAGGTATCTCCCTAGTGAGTTTTCATTCACTCCTAACTTCACGCAGCCGGGATAAGACTGACCTTCTCATATTTGACCTGATTGTGTCACAAAAGCATTAGAAGCTTTCATGCTTTCCTGGGAAATTCCCCGTGGGCCACCACTCTGGGCAGGGCCGTGAAGGAGCCTGGATGCCTCCTTCTCAGTTGGGAGCGCTTTGCTGGAAATGCTTCCATTTCCAAAGTGCCGGTGACAGTTGTGTGCGGAAATCACCAGCCCGCGCCGCGCTCCACGCGCCAGGAGGAGACCGGGCGCTTCGCCGCCAGGCCTCAGGCGCGGACCTATTGCTGCTATTTTCTTTCTCTTTAAAAAAATAATCCTGCTGTTCAATAGTCAAAATTGATTTCTCGTTTAGAAACGTGTGTCTCAAAGACAATTCCGCTTCCCCGCACCCTCGGCCCCAGGCGCTCGGCCGCACTCACCCACTCGCTGCTCGGGCGCAGGCCCCAGCCCCGCCGCCTCCGCGCGGCCCAGGGCGCAGTCCCGCCCGAGGAGCTGCAGGCCCTTGAGCTCCGCCGCGTGGTGCCTCCGCAGCTCCTGGACGATCTCCGCCACCAGCCGCAGCAGCGCGCGCCCGTCCGCCGGCTCCCGGGGCTCCGCGCCCCCCCGGCCGCGCCCCGCCGCCCCCAGGACCAGCAGCAGCCCCAGGAGGAGCGGGCGCCCGGGTCCGCGCATCGTGCGCTCGGGGCCGCGGGGTGGGAGGCTCAGACGCGCGCCGGGAGCTGGGCTCGCTGCGGGAGAAGGGGCGCGGGGGGCCGGGGAGAAAGTCAGCGGGGGAGGGGGGAGCGCGGGGCGGGGCGGGGAGGAAGCGGGAGGAGCCGCGGGCGCTGGACCCGGCTCCGCGCACCCCGAGGAGGCGCCCGCCGAGCCGGCAGGTGAGGACCAGCGGTTGCCCCGACGACCCCGTCCGAGGTCCCGCCCACCGGGAGCGGCCGCAGCTGGGGCCGAACCGAGCCCCCGGAACCCGCCGCCGCCCCTCCTAACTTTCACCCAAAAGGCCGCGTCCGCCGAGCGCGCTGTGCCCGGCGCGAGCGCAACTTTCTTTCCCCTTCGGAAGCCGCGGGCGCGGGGGAGCGCCTCGGCCCGAGGGACCTCGCAGGGGCCGCGCCTCCGCGCCCACCTCCAAGAACGCGGCGCCGCGCGCCGGGCCCGGAGGCCGCGCTCAAGTTCCCAGCGTCGCCTTTGTGCGGTGGTCGCGGCGGGCGCCGAGTCCCCGAAGCCCACGGAGGAGACCCTCGCTCCGGCCCGGGTCGCGCCGCGCTCTGGGAGCCCCTCCGGCCCCGCGCCACCCCGGGGCCACCTGCGCGCCGGGACCGGGCTGGTCACCTGGAGCCGCCGGTGTCTTCGCCGTCTGTGCGCGTCTGTCCCCGCGCCCCGAGCTGCGCCACTACTCCATGCCCGGCGGCGGGCGGAGCGCACGGGACGCGGGGACTCGGGGACTGGCCGCTCCGAGCGCTGCACCCGCGACCGCCTTGGGTGCGCCGGTGCCGACTCCCGCCTCGAACCTCTGGGCGCTTCTTATCCCCGCGCCCGCCGACGTCAGGCGGGTCCCCGAGGGCTCCGAGCCGGGCTTTAATTAGAAGCCGCTGGACTGTCCGTGCCCCCATGCGGATCTCCGTCACCCCCGCCCCCGCCCCCCGCCCGCATCTCCCGCGCGTCTCCCCCGCGCCGCGTCTCCCGCGCCCCTTCCCTCCCCACCTTCCCCGTCTCGCGTCTCCTCCTCTTCTCCCCGCGTCTCCTCCCCCCGCCCCTCCCCCAGGCTGTTTCCCTCCGTTCCTGTCACTTGTGACAGGATGAGAAGAAACGCCTTTACCAGGAACTCGGTTCTGTTTTTGTCTAAATGTAGATCTTGGGCTATTAAAATGGGAGCTGCCTGATTGCTTCTACATTTAATAAGTCGATTAGAGTCTATCCGCTTTGGAGGGGTCCGATCCGCCGGCGGTCCTGGGGTCCGCTCTCATGATCATCCCAGGGGTCCGCCCCGCCCGATCCCAGGTCCCCAAGTTCGGGTCCCACGCCTGCGTCCCGAGGTGGGGCGTCCTGAAGGCGGGAGCGGGTCGAGCCGGGCGGCGAGGACTCCCCAGGCCCCGAGGTGCGCGCGGCTGACCGCCCAGGAGGGGCATAACCGGCACACCCCTGGCCCCCCGCGAGAGGACTAGCCGAGGCCGCTCCCCGGCCGGGACCGCGCCGCCTGCCCGCTGCTCGGCGCTGGACCTTCGGCCGGCAGGTACCTCGCGCCCTGGAGGGAAACGCCCGCAGGACGCCAGGTGCCTCCCGGGTTGGTCTTTGAGAAAGTTTGGCTCTTTGGATGAAGCCCGGCACGTCCGTGAAAGTGCAGCAATTTGCGTCTTTTGTTTTATTCTTGTAAAATGTATGGTCAGTGCGTTGCGCACTTTCCCATCCGATTGGTGCTTTCTGGGCAGGAGCTGGACGTCTTCCAAGCCAGCGATCTGGGTGGGAAAGGTGTTCTGAGTGCAGTCCGGAAAGGCGGAGCGGGCGAGGATTGAACCTGCAGCGTGGTCGGGGCGTCGCGGGGCGCCCGCGGCAGGAGCTGGCGGAGCAGGTGCGCGCGGGGAGGCGGGAGGAGGCTCCGCGCCCGGTCTCCGCTGCTTGGCGAGGCCCGTCCGCGCCCGTCTCTACGTTGGCATCTCGAGTCCTTCTCCTCGCCCCGCACCGGCTGCGCTTCCTCGGGATGGGAACGTGCCGCGCGGGGAGGCGGCGGGGAGACCGAAGGTGGGAAATGGGACCCTCAGGACCCCGCCCCGCGCCCTCGGGGCTCTTTAAAAACAGATGGTTTGATTTCACAGCGAGGCTTTTCTTCTTTTTCTTTTTGCAGGCAACACGACTGAAATGTGAACGTTTCTGTTAAAATACGCTCAGGAAAAAGTACAATGTATGTCAAACAGATCTTAGGCACGTACCAGGAGGCATTTTTCCTTCTCCCTTTCCCCTTCCCATTTGCGTTCCTCCGGCAAGAGCGACGCCTGGCGATGGGGCGATGGGGCCGGCCCTCCCCTGCCCGGCTCCGGTCCTGCGCTAGGCCCACCTCGCAGCCGGTGTAAACCACAGCTTCCAGAAAACAGAAGCATGTGAAGATTCTACTGTTGTAAAATAGCTTGGTGTAAGACAGTTTTTCAAAAACATTTTGTATGGAAAAAGAAGAAAACATGACATTTTCACATATTATTTTTAATTTATGTAGACTTTTTTAGAATAGTGTTTTATAAAATGAAAAGCTAAATTTCTATAATATACCAGCAGGATCTATCCTCCCCCCAACGCGCACACACAAATTCTACCTGCGAAGGAAGACTTGCTGGTAATTAATATTATCTCTCTTCTTTTGCAGTTTGTAATGGGACAAATGGATTCCTTGAATGTGCCCTTTCTCCCATGCAATGTGGGCCCAGTCTCCCGCCTCACTCAGGAGAGGCATCAGAGCTGACGGTCTTTAGATGAATGAGACCTTGCTATTAAGAATCAGACAATTTATGTGTTCATTTATCTTTACCAAGTTCTGTACTAAAATTATCTAGGTGCTGCTCATTTTATATTATAGAAACCATTTCTACAGGCTTTAACAAACTTAGAGTGTACCACTGATTTGTTAATCTTTACTGAACTTTCAAGTTAATGGTATTGTCAAGATGACCCCTTGGAGTTCTCCAGTCACCAGAAACGTGTGCTGTCACCCCTTGTTCTACTCCTGGGACTGGTTCCAGCAGATACCGAAAGCCAGGCACATTCACATCCCACAGTGGGGCCCGTGGGACACGCAGATATGGAAAGTTGCCCTCCCTCTGCGTGGGTTTCACACCCTCCAGCTGCTGTGTTTTCGACCCACGTTTGAAAAATATCTGAAAGTGGACCGTTTCAAACCCCTGCTGTTCAAGAGTCAGCTGTATTGTGTCAATACAATCTGATGTGCTAAATCCATTGGCTGTGCTGGTAGTGCAAAGGAAAGCACCCCAGTTCTTTACTGTCAAAAACACATGAAGCTGTTTTTGACAGATGGCTCAGTCACTCCTCTACTTTTTGTGTAAAATGAGGTAGTTGGTCTAGTTGATGACGAAACTCTAAAACTACATAATACTAAGATTATTACCAAAAAAAAATCTTAACCAGATGCAGTGTTCCCTACAAAAAGCTGAAGGTAATTCACTTGAAGTCATTACGATGAGTTCCATCATCTATTTTCAGGAATCATTTAATTCCTTCCTTTAGAACGTGAACAACATTCTGCTCTCAAGGGTCCAGGACGCCAAAAAGAAAAGAGACAAAATTAGCAACAAACTATATTCTAGGATTACTGGGAAAAATTTTTTTCTAGATTTGATTTAGTTGGTTATTTTTTTGAGAAAACTAAGTTGGATCATAAGAAGAAAACTGAGCAGAGGAAAAAAGTCTGTATTTAATCTACTCTGACAGTACTATATATGGGTCATAAGATGGGTGAGTTATTTTTTTTTTCAATCCAATCCATAAACAGGTTAAAGTTCTGATGTTTTGACTGCAATCTTTTTTTTCTTCACCCAGAAGGTACATATTTAATTTTAGATAAATATTAACTACCTTCAAAGACTTTTAAAATAGGAATATACTGTATGCTTTAAAAGGAATTGTTATATTTGTTCAATCATTATGTCAATCATTTCACAATCTAAGTAAGTTCGTATTGTAAAAAAAAAAACATTACCTTTCATAAAGGACAGCATCTTGTGATATAAAGAAATATTGCTTACTGTTTAATTTTTACCAATTCTGTTTTTTTTTTTAACAATCAAAATGCTATTAGTGTGCTGGGGAAGTACTAGAAAGTGTTTAAAGCATTTAGGAAGACAAGCTTTCTAACAGGATTAATTTTCCTATTATAAATGTAATAAATATAGACTCTCAGAAGTGATAATGTATGCATGATATCTGCCTCTTATTCTAGATCAATGAAGTTCAACATTCTATGTGATGCTTCTCCCCTTTGAGGGAGGAAGGAGACTATTCCAGAAACATGGTCATCTACCCCCTTCCCATTCTTTGACACCACATTTGCATCTGCGAATGCACACTGCTATGCATGTTCAGGAGAGAAATTAGGTGAAAGTTTTATTTGAAGGGTTGGGATGAGATAGCATGACTGATAAACATTTTAAAAAATTTATTGTTTAATGGTCAAGATAAAGAGGATTTTTTCATGGGGAAAGGCTTAAAGGAAGTACGGACTTTACCTTGTTCCTTCAAACTGGATTTTAGTTATAAAATCTAAAAACACTGTGATGCTTACTTGCCATTTGTAGGCACCATTCTGGCATCTTTTGATGGAAGCAGTGAGAATAAATTTGAATGGACACACCCGTCATCAACATATTAAAGAAAAGACCCTCTTATTTGGTATAAAGGCTACGTCAACAGTCAAACTCATATGCCAAGAAAATATAGTCATAGATGCCGAGTAACAACACCAGTATATGTACATTCAATCTGTTTGCTGCAGGAAATCAAATATTCTGATCAGAAGTGACACACACAATGGTCTGGGGTCATCGCAGAAACATCCAAAGTGTCATAAAGGCACCACCTACCAAAGTGGATTTTTGTTTGATTCTAGGATAAGCTAACCACTGGACAGAGATGCCTCCTGGATAGAGGGAACTGTGCCTGCAAACTCCTGAGCAGGAGGCCCCAGAGCTTCTTGGATCTGCTGGAAAGACTGGGCAGCAGGAAGGGGCTGGGAGGAACAGATGGTAAGGCACCTCCCCTGAACTCCACTTTCTTTCAGGAATGCAGCATAGTGGAGTGCAAAGGAGGTGGGCACCAAAGCCACAGAAAGGGGCTCAAGCTGATTCCCACCCACATCTGTATGAACTTGGGCGAGACAGCTTCTTTGAGCCCAGTTTCTTCATGTCTAAAATGGCAGGAGTACGTAGAACCTCGGAGGTTTTATACACATTAAGTAAGATAAGATAAAATATGTTAACTTTTTAGTAAGTTTAAATTTTTTTAACAGACCAATTACTGGTACTACTGCCTTTCATAGTGTCTGCTGTCATCATGGTCTCTTTTTTTCTATATTTTGTCCCTTACAATATGGCATGAAAGAGAACGTTATCCAATCCTAGAGAATGTCTGGGGCATCAGAATTTTGTGACTTATTCACAGCTGCATAGAAAATCTATAGTTAGAAGTGGACTGAAATATCCAGAATTAGTAAGTTTCCATGTGACCAGCACTCAGAACAGTGGGTGAAGGCTCAGTCCAGCGGAGTTGGATTCAGACCTGGGGGTGAGCTGCTGCTGCTGTCTGAGGCATGGTTCGTGTGCTGTCAGGAAGCTGTAGAAGTGTGTCTGGCTAAGAGGTACTAGGGCCATGAATTCATAAGAACAGTCTGTGTTTTGCTCACTTGACCCTTCCTTAAAACCACGGGGACATTTCAAGGCTGGTTTCTCTGGCATTTTTGCCACTGTTACAATGCAGTCCCTTAGATGAAGAGTGCTTGAAACACTGTCTTAGTCCATGTGTGTTCCTAGGACAAAGTACCTTAACAGGAAGCTTATAAACAGCAGAAACTCACTCCTCACAGCTCTGGAGGCTGGAAGTCCAATATCAAGGCGGATTGGGTATTTGATAAAGGCCCGCCTTCCTCCTAGACGGCACCTTCTCGCTGTGTCCTCACACGGGAGGGGCAAGGGAGCTCTCTGGGGTCCCTTTTGTAAGGACACCAGTCCCAATGAGGCTCCACCCTCATGACCTCATCATCTCCCAAGGCCCCACCTCCTGGCCCCCTCACTCTTGGGATTAGGCTTCAACACAGGCACTTTGGGGAGGCTCAGACATTGAGCCACAGCAGATACACAGCAGGACCTAGATAGGCCAGTTGCTGGTCCCGGGAGAAATCGGAGGCAGGGGCGCCCAACCTTTTGGCTTCCCTGGGCCACACTGGAAGAAGAAAAGTTGTCTTGGGACACATGTAAAATAACACTAACAATATCTAGCAAGCTAAAAAAAATCACCAGAGAAATACCATAATGTTTTAAGAGTTTATGAATTCCTGTTGGGCCGCATTCCACCCTGTGCCCCACGGGTTGGACGTGCTTGGAAATGGACGTCAAGCAGAAACAGCCTGCACCTCCAGCAGTCAGGGAGAGTTCGTGCTGAGAAGCTCTCATGCACCCACACATCCCATGAGCATCACCTGAGTCCCCTCAGGACGGAGGGGAGAACTTCTCTCTGCAAGAAACCTGCACTGTTTGGTGACCAAGGTGTCCCTGTGTCAGGTGCTCCTGGAGACTGGGCAGAGTGCAGGGTGTGGGGCTGGGTCACGGCGTGCTTGGAACATGTGAGGGGCCTTCCGGGGGGGAGTGTAGGGGAAAAGAGGGGAAGAGGCCACGCTAAGTGAGCACTCCGGGCTTCATCCTGCAGGCTGTGGTAAATGATCGACAAGCCTTGAGCAGGGGAGTGACATGATCAGATCTGCAATGTAGAGATAGATACGGATGAAGCACCAAAAGGGCGTGGGGTGGTGGAGAGACAGACCAGGGCTGCCCCTCCGCCCGCCCTCCCTCGTGGACAGACAGACCAGGGCTGCCCCTCCGCCC